CTCGGGTGTACTGGTGGTTTGAAGCATCGAGCTGTTCACACATAACGCTCCTGTGAGATTCACAGGAGTGCTTGGAACCAGAGGGGGGGGGGGGGGAAACGAAAATACTAAAATAAATACTAAAAAATAGTGTAAAATTATAAAATAAAATACTAAAATGTTGAAAATACATATGCACTGTGCAGTGCAGAAGGAAAATACAAACAAGTTTGGCTGAGGGTCACCTGCAAATGCCTCTCTTTTTTTTTAAAGATGGAAAATAACATAGAAAAAGAAGTGAATATACTATATAGTAATATACACCTCTTTCAGCCCCCCCTTAAAGAGTCCAAAGTTCCTGAAGGACCTGAACCCATTGGAATTTGAAACCCCTTTCCTCACCCTCACACCACCACCCAACTTGACTTCCGAGCTTTTCAAGGTGAAGGCGGATTCGCCATGTTCTTGACAAGTGCATTCAACTGCGTTCTCAATTTTGCATTCTCAATTTCTCACAGCATAATCAGAAAAAAAGAGAAAAGAAAAAAAACAAAATTCTCTGGAACTTTCAGAAGATTGGCCAGGTGGCCAGCCCCCTGTCTCGCCCGCCGGTGGACCGAGTAACCTTTTTTTTTTTTTTTTTTTTTTTTAGTAACCTAGAAGTTCGAAAAATGTCTATGGTCCGGTTTGGCAAATTATCTTGGCACAAGCAAAGGCTTTTTCTTCCTCTCGTTTTTTTTTGTCTTTCATTTTTTCAAAAGCGGCCCTTTCGTACTGATAGTGTAACATCTTGGACGCAGGGGACACGTGGCTTCCGCCCCACCATAGGATGTATACAATCAGTGATCTGTGTGCCTATCCCTCTCCCGCAACCCCCCACCTCTCCTCTCCAACAACACCCCCCACCCCCCTCCACCCCTTTCTCTCTCTATCTCTCTCCCACACACACATAATTATCTTTACGTATGTATGTATTTCTTACTATTTCCTTTTCCTTGATTTTTTCTTCCTTTGTGTGTCTGGGGGAGCAAGTTTAAGAAGAGTTAAACAGTCGGTGGTCGGTTGTTTGGAGTACCTGCAGGACTCTTGGAGGGGGCGCCCTGTCTGTGATGTCTGTGGTGCATATGGTCTATGGGTGGCGGTGGAGGCCCGGCCGAGTGGCTTGCTGGCTCAGCGGGTGGTGTGGGAACCCCAACAGTCCGCGGGTTTCTTCTCGCGGTGTGAGGAGGTCTTGGACGACTTCGCTCCGTGTTGGATGTGTGGACTGCCTTAGTCATGATCCACGGCTGCCTTGTTGGCCATCCTGCTTGCTCCTCATGTCGCGCTTTGCAGCTGGTGTGTTGCTCTGTAGTTTGGCTGCGTTGTTTTTCTCGCCTTGTGCTTCGCTGCACTGTTGCCATGCACTTCGCTAGTGTGACGTGCACTTTGGCTGTTGCTGCAGTGCTGCTGTGTGCTTCGCTCGTGCTGTTGCTTTGCTGCCCGTCCGATTGCGCTGTCGTTCCATGCAGTTAGCATTGACGCTTTGCGGTTGGGTTGCCCCGGCAGCATTGCCTGGTGCTTCGATGAGTCGTTGCCTGCTTCTATGCTCTGCTCTGCTTGCGATGTTGCCTTCTGGCAGTCCTCCGTCTTTCAACAATGGCAAAAGGGGTCATGAACGGAAGCACCAATATGGGGATTTCACAGATTGTCAAGCGTTCAGCCTCCGGATGAGTTGGTGTAACTCCGACAAAACAATCTATCATCAGTTTTTCATCTTTTTTTCACTTTGTGCTTTTTGGTACATTATCCTGGGCTACCAGCCGTGCCGCCGGGTCCCCAAGATGGCCCAGGACCTGCCCAGGACAACCAGCCGGGCAACTGGGCCAGGCGGGGTCCCGACCCATATCCCAACAAAAAAGAAAAAGGAAAAAAAAAAGTAACTCGCCAGGGTGACCCGGGCAAGAGGGTATTTGTCGTACTGGCCCGGCTGCTTTTTTCTTATTTTTTGGCCTTGCTGCTCCTTGGTTTGTTGCCTTTTCCTTTGCTGCCTACTGCTGTTTGTCTGCCCACCTGCCTCCCCCATGTCCTCCAGCGTTTGTTCTTTGCTGCTGCTGGTCATCCAGTGCCTTGTTGCCTAGTGCTATTTGCCTGCCCACACGGCCTATGCTTGCTGCTGCTTGCTCTCCAATGCCTTGTTGCTTCCTGACTTTTGCAGCAAGTTTGCCTTGCCTTTTTTTTTGCCTTGCTGTTTTTGCCTTGCTGCCGTTTGGCTTGGTTTGGTGCTTTTTTTGCTTCATGGCCTTTCAAAGGTTGACATCACGTGCATTTGTTTCATGGGCATGCCTGAGCACGGGCCCCTTTGAATGTGTTGTTTATAAAAACACCTCTCGAGTCTCCACGCAACATGCTGCGGCACGCTCATGGAAGTCTTGTACCACACAAACACACACACACACACAAACACTCCCTTCGGCACGCTCACGGAAGTCGTGTACCACACAAACACACACACACACAAACACTCCCTTTTGCTTACCTTCTCTCCATGCTTCCCTCTCTGTTCCTGCGTCTTTGCCTGCATGCCTATGTGTTTGTCTTCTCCCTCTGTGCCACTGTCTCTGTGAGTCCCATTACCAGTCTCAGTCTCACTCTGTGTCTCTATTTGCCCTTGTCCATGCCTCCGTCCCATACTTGCAACCTCACGAGCCGCACGGTCATGGGGTGCGCTGCGCCGCACGACACGCTTGACCGTTAGGTGGCGACATTCCTCTCCCAGCTGTTCTTTTTTGTTTTTCATGCTCGTGCGCCCTACCTGCCCGTGTGCCGCATGGATCCCATGCGCTCGTGCGCCGTACCTGCGCACAATTGCCCGCACATCATGCGCTTGCATGTGTGCTCTGTCCCCTGTCTTCTTGTGAACTTATTGATTTGCTGTCTGTCCATCTGCCTGCCTGTCTCTCTGTCTGTATCTGTGCCTGATAAAGGGGCAGGGTTGGGGGGGGAGCAAAGAAAGAAAGATAATAGATATACAGAAGCGAACAACTGGCAGTCCGAAGAATGTCTCACCTGCATGGAAAGACTAACCCCTGCTCCAAAAATCGCACTGCCTCGGACTTCATCCCTTGTTTCCTGCATACAGAGAGCGGAAAGGGAATTTTAAAATTTTCGTGATTGTTCACTTGTTAAGAGCTGTCTCTTATACACATCTAGATGTGTATAAGAGACAGTAGATATACAGAAGCGAACAACTGGCAGTCCGAAGAATGTCTCACCTGCATGGAAAGACTAACCCCTGCTCCAAAAATCGCACTGCCTCGGACTTCATCCCTTGTTTCCTGCATACAGAGAGCGGAAAGGGAATTTTAAAATTTTCGTGATTGTTCACTTGTTAAGAGAGTTCAATTTTTTATTTATTTTTATTTTTTTACTAAACAGCCAACTTTGGTAGATGACCTAGACTTTTTTTTTTGTTTTTGTTTTTTTTTTTGTTTTTTTGTTTTTAACATGACCTAGACTTCACTTCTGTAAGCAAAAGCTGTCCACTCTGCTCCTCTTCCGTCTAGCATCTTGTGCATCTTGTGCCAATTAGACACACATAAACATCATGAAATATGTTGAAGACAGGTATGCAGGCAGACAGTCACACTGTTACTGATCAGCGTGCGTTTAGGGCATCAGGCCCCCCGCCGTGCATGCACGGCCTCAAACCGGCACCCTCAGCCACAAGAACACAGTCTCGTAACCACTACAACCCTCGGAGGTGTTATATATACAACTGGATCCGTACCGGTCCTGATATCCAGCCCACCCCCAGGGCTGTAGTGTCCTTGAACTCACACCACACACACAACACCACACCGCGGACACGGCAATCAACACACTATCTGCTCGGACAACACGTGACCCACCGCCGCTACTTCACCCGGTCACTCCAAGGCGGGCCCACTTCCCGCAGGTTGCCCCTGGCGTTTTTGCGGTGTCTTCAAAATATGTTGGGGGCAGGTTTGTTCTTTCTTACATCATGTGGAAAGAATGAGGAAGCAGCATCCTTGCGTGCAATGCTGTGCGCACACTGGCCGGCTCATGGTGTGCTCGTGACACACGTGCTGCACCGTACATGTGCGGCTCATGGTGTGCGTGCGCACAAAAAAATAAAAAAAAAACGAAAAAAGGAAGCAGCAAAAAAGCAATCCTGAAACAAAGCCCTGCAGCTCTGATGAAACTCCCAGCCATGCAACCAGTGGCCATGCGACTCGGAAATGTTAGGTCCTGCAGCAAACTGCTCAGGATGGGGAAACTCAAAAGATGCACTGAGAGAACACACCATACCGTCAATGGCATGAATTTGCATCTGAATCTGACAACAAACCGCCAATTGATTCATCGCATTTCACTGATTTCATGGTTTTGAATTAACTGGGCAAAAGTCCCTGCAGCCCGAACGAATTTGGCAAACCACATACATACCAGATCTGCAACAATTCCATAGAACTCCGCAGCTTCCTCCCATTTCTTTACATTTGCATGCATTTTCGCCAGGCCCATGTACGCCCCCACATTCTTCGTGTCCTTCTGAATCGCAAGTCTGCACAGCGAGCAAAATGATGCACAATCCAAAGAATGAAAGTCTCCGCTCAATCAGTGAAAAGTTAGTTGAAAACAGAAACCAGCTTTTACACACGCGCACACACACACACAGAGAGAGAGAGAGAGAGAGAG